GGCGCGAGGAGCATGGCGGCCATGGAGCTGCCCGGGGCCTGCCTCCTGCTGTTGGGCCTTGCTGCGTGTGTGTCCCCTGACAGGAGGCCTGGGGTGGTGGTGAAGGTGCTGCTGGAGAAGAGCAGCCCCTCTACGCGCAAAGGCACGCTTTAAGAGCTGGCCCTTCTGCTGGCAGCACAGGCGAACCTGGGCTCCTTGCTTTGCTCTCCCTTAGGCGGCTTTTAGCCTGCTCCAACCATCCGTGCCCAGGCCAAGTTATACGGGTGCAGGGAAAAGGGAGCCCTGTTGCCTCGATACATCCTTTTGGCTCAAAGGTTGGGCAGCGTCTCGGCTGGTGGAGCTGGACTTTGCTTTGCGGTGCGGCTCTCGCAGGCAGGGCTCAGGGCGGCGCAAGCGGGCGCAGGGCGCCGACGCGCTGCCTCGTGGGCTCGGCTCTGCCCGCCCAAGCCGATGGGCCGTGATCCGCTCCGGGCCCGCGCGGTGGACATGGCAATCTGCTCTGGGATCTCCAGCCTGGCTCTGTCTCCAGCTTTGGTTGCCTTGGCTCCTTCAGGAGCCGCTTTCCAATGCACAGCCGGCTTTGCAGCTGGGGGAATTTATCATGTCAGGAGGGTTTTGGTTGGTTGGTTTTGTTGTGTTGGTTTTGTTGTGGTGCTGTGGGTGGTTTTTTTCCACACCCCTAAAACTTTGTAAATCTCCCGTAAACTTCAAGGAGCATTTTGGGAGCAAGAACTCCTTGCACTGGATAACTCCTCATGTTGAAACTCAAGACCTGAATTTTGGCCAGAACCACCCTTTTCCTGTAACTTAAGCCCATTGTTTCCATGTACTGGTGCTGGCTGATTGTCCTGGTCATGTATCCCAGCCCCTGTGGTGTCTGTGGCTGAGGTGATCCAGCGAGCTCCTTAGTTCTGTAACATCCCGGTCTGCTTATTGCAGCCGGGGAAGGGGGTTGGAGCAGAGCACGTGCTGGTGCACAGACAGAGATAACGGCGTCGCTGCCCGGTGCAGAACACCCTGTCCTTGCTGTCCTTCTGGCTCCAGTGCCAAGCTGCTGTGACTTGGAAGAGGTTGCCCTCTGTGTCTGCTAGAGATAGAGCTGTTTATCTAGCGGTGAAACCACTCGCAAGAGCTTCCAATCTGGTAAGCACACCTCATTAATCCTTGAAAAAAAATCAGAGGATCTTAAAAAGGCCTCTGTCACAGGCTGTGGAGCAGAGCATGTGGAGCTGGGGGCTGCTCCCTTTTGGACTCAGGCGGTTGTGGATGCACAGAAAAGGTGCGTTCCCCCTCGTTTTTCTGCTCTCTCCTTGCACCTGGCAATAAGTGCACCAGACTTGGAGCTCTCTGCAGCTGGGGCTGCACCAAGTCAGGATCGTTCATACAAGGGGTGGAGGGGAGTAGGGCTCGTTTGCTTAACCCTGTGGGTGACGTGGCCAGCTCAGCAGGGCTGCCAGTCACCCGGTTCTTCTTCACTTGCTCTGAGCTCTGCCCCTTTGCCTCTTTCAGTAGCTCAGGCCACATCTTGTGCAAGGAAACGCTGGCTCCTTACTGGCAGGAGGAAGTTGGATGCTTGCTCTTGAGTAATGTGTAACCAGCCTCTCCTGCTGCTCCTGAGCAATGTGACTTCCAGAACAGTGACCTCTTTTTTGGTTGGCAGCCTGAAGGGAGGAGAAGTGGGATTTAGGTCAGTCTGGCTTCGTGGCATCCACCATGACCTCACCGATTTGTGTCACCCTACCTCTCCTCACCTGGGCAGCCCTCCCGTCACCTCGGTGCAGGCCCGTGGCGCTCGGGAGCGCTGCAGCCTGCGAACCTCCCCCTGTCCTTTCCCCACGTGCGCCTCTAACCTTTGCAGCAAGTTGAAATGACGGGGACTGATAGCAGCCGTGTCACTCCGCTGTGTCACCTGCAGGCATTGCCCTGGCCTGAACTCCAGTGCCCAAGCCAGCGCCCAGGTGGGGCACCCCGCAGGGATGTGAACTCCGCTGTGGGTGGGAGCAAGCTGGGGAAAGTCACAGGGACAGAGGCGTGCGGTTGAAGAGCTGATGGCCAGGGTGGGGATGCCTTTGGAGAGCAGATGCAGGGAGCTGCTGCCAAGCCAAGATGAGGTGCTGGCTGGGTGCTCACCTCCTGCCTTGGGTGACGGGGATGCTTCCCAGGCTGGTGGGGCTGTGGGGCTCTCCGGCTGGACCCTGTGGTGGGGGAGAAGCTGACGCAGTCCCTCAGTCTCCTCGTGCAGGGAGGAAATCTCCATCCCCTGTCTGCAGTGGAGAAGGTGGGCCCTAAGGCAGGGCATCCAGACGCTTGCTGGAGGGCAGGTCAGCTCCTGAATCTGCTCTAGGACACAGCAGAGCAGAGCTGGTGGCTGCTTCTGGGAACTTTGTTCACGTGCAAGCTCCTCTGCCGCCTGGCCTGGCAAATGGCTGCTCCCCTGCCCAAAAATAGCCCCGGGGTGCTGCCAGCTTCTGGCTGCCTCCTTTGGCCGAATTGGAGGGTCACCAGCTCCCACCTGTCTGGGGGTGGCGTAGATGGGCCCTGCTGCCATGGGCTGGCAGGGCCTCAGTTGGCGAGGCTGCGCTGGGTGTGCCCAGCAAGGGCCTGGTGACCCGCTCGATGCGTTGGCAGCGCTGAGTGGAGCTGTGGGTGGGTGTCTCCTGCCAGCTGGGAGCTTTGTGGACAGACCTGTAGATCCACCGAGGAAGGGAACTGACAGGCAGAAGCGATTTGCTTGAAGGTGGGTTTGCCGGGGGCACCTTGCCTCTGCCAAGCTGCCTGAGGAGCATCCCGTCTGCTGCTGGCATCCGTGTGTTGTGCAGGAAAGTGGTTTTCCCCTTCATTCTCCTCCTTTCTTGGACTCCCCTGGGGTAATGGCACCCCGTGTTTGTATTGTTAAGCAGCACCTTTCAGCACTACAACGAGCAGAACTGGCAGAGCCTTCCTTGGGTGTGCAGGCTAATACCCATGTGCTGGGGAGTGGCAGAACCTCGAGGAGCCGTTGGAGCAGCTTGTGGAGCTCTGCTGATTGCAGGAGGAGAACATTGATAGCATCAGAGCAGACTACAGCCGTGACACAGGGTGCAACAAACAGCGCCAAGTGGATAAACCCAGGAATGCTCCCTGATCCAGTGTTGAGACCAGCATCTCTCCCTCCTGGGCTTCGGAGGGATTCCAGTTTGCCCTCTCTTTGCAGGGCTCTTGGAGCTGTGCAAGGCTGGACTCTCCTCTTCCTCAGGGCTCATTGTGAGCCTGGCTGTGAGCTGATGCTGTCAGCTTGAAGGAAGCATGGACCATCCAGTTTGGCTGTACTGGCTTCAAAGTTACAATCAGCTTCCCCCAGGGCTTCCAGTAAAATTCCCACACTGGGAGCAGCCAGGGCTTAGCATGCAGCTAAAGCACCTTGAGCACATGGGACCGTGCAGGACAGGTGCCTGGGTGGACCACAGGGTGAATGAGACTGGAAGCTGTCTGTCCAGACAGAACTGCTCTTATCTCCTTCCACCCACCCTGGGTATAGCAGACCCCGTCACCTCCCCACTCTGCTGCTGTCTGACTGCTCTTCTCTTCTGCAGGATCATCAAAACTGTGCTCAAGACCTTCAAGTATTTCTTCGGCCTGAGGTTTGAGGTGAAGGGACTGGAGAACTTCGAGGTGGAGGGCCCTGCTATCATTGTGTCCAACCACCAGAGCATCCTCGACATGATGGGTGAGGAGCTGGTGGGAGGGAGGGAGGGAAGGAGCAGTTCTCTTCCTCAGCATCAGAGAAATCCTGCTCATGGCTCCTGGCCAAGCAGCCCTGGATGGTTTGTGCTACTTGAGCCAAGTGATCCAGCTTTCTCTGTCCGTGCTGGCTGCAGGAAGGGTCTCCCCTTGCTCTGAGCCATCACACCCCCGTGCAGCACCCCAGGTGCCGCTCAGCTTCAGGTGCTTCTTGGCTCCCTCTTACACCCCCGATAGCCTGGCTTGCCTAGCCCGTGTGTCAGTGCTGAGTGGGCCTGCTGGGCACCCTGGGGCCAAGGAGTGAGCTGCCTCTTGAGGCATCTTGCTATGACCTGCAGCCACTCTGCCCCTGCAATTCTGCTGTGTGCCAAGTCTCCTTCTGCTCTGTGGATGGCAGCAGAAGCCAGCAGAGAAAGAAGGCGCTGGCCTGTCCTTGGTGCTCTGCTCCACACCTCAGATCGTCTCTCTTGTCCCATCTGAGTGCAGGCAGGGCGGGGGTGGCTGCTGGGTCTAACCCTGTGCCGTCACGTTAGGGCTGATGGAGGTGCTGCCCGACAACTGTGCCCAGGTGGGCAAGAAGGAGCTGATGTACGCCGGCACCGTGGGGCTCATCATCTACCTCGGCGGTGTCATCTTCATCAACAGGAAGAGCACCACCAGCGCCAAGATGGTGATGGCAGAGGTGGCCAAGACGATGGCAACTGACAACGTGAGCGTTGACGGTGGTGGTCGGCGGGGTGGCACGTGTCTGGGCGTCCTGGGGTGGCGTGGGGCGGGGGTGTGGACCTCCTGGTGTTGGCTGGCTTGGAGTTACAGCCGCCTGCCGCTCTTGGCAAGGCTGGCTGGTGGCTTTCCCCGTCGGAAGGGAGCACTGCCAGCAGATTGCTGGAGTAGAACCTTATCTCCCCATGTGCAGGTGAAGGTGTGGGTGTACCCCGAGGGCACAAGGAACTGCACAGGGGATTTGCTGCCGTTCAAGAAAGGAGCATTTCACCTCGCTGTGCAGGCACAGGTAACAGCGCTTTGCTTCTGCACGGGGACCCTGGAATGCTTTTGCAGCGGCGCTGCAGCCTTGTCGTGCAGCGCTGTGGTTTATTTGCTCTCAAGTGAGCTGCGTTCCCAGGTCACAGCTGAGCTCCTCAGCTAAACCACCATCGGGTATCACGAGGGCTTTTCCAGGCCCTGCAGGAGTGACTTGACTCCTCTGGATGGGTGGCTGCGGACAGTGGAGAAGCTGCCTTGTCCTCTCTCCTGACTGCCCCAGCAGTGTCCCCTCCGGAGGGCAGAGCATGGGGGACAGGCACACTGGACCCAACAGGGTCAGGCAGGTGTGCAGGCAGCTGCCTGGCAGTGCGGTGGTGCGGTGTCTGTGCCGGGCTGCAGCACAGAGCTCGCTTCTGGCAGGGAGCCCAGCGGGTGCTTGCCTGGGACATCCCAAAGCCATTGATGCATTTCTCAATCCCTCACGTTGCAATCCTGTAGTGTTGATTGAGGATCGTTAGTGCTTTAGAGCATTAACAACTGGGCTTGGCCTGTGTGGAAATAGCTGCTCCCTCCCAACCAGCCTTATGGCGCTTCTTGGTACATCTTAAACGCCTCCTCTCTCCAAAATGACAAGATCCACGAGCGGTTAGTGGGGGAACAGACAGACAGTTCCTTGGCTTTGGACAGCTAGAGCTGTCAGTGCTCCTGAAGGAGCGTGGTGCTCGCCTGGGCAGAGCTCTGGGGCGCTGTGCCCGGGATGCTGAAGACCCGGCTGTGCTCTCTGTGCCTGGGCAGTCGCTGGGACCTGACCCACCGTGCTGGGGACTGGAGAGGCAGCTGGGAGGAGGGGTGTGCCTTGCCTTCCCGTGCACACTCTGCCTCTCTTCTCGGGGCTGGGATGGCTCGAGGCATGAGGGGAGGCTGCTTTCCCTAAAAGAGGTGTTGTAGCAGGGCTCCTGGAGAAGGGAGTAGGTGCCAGATCTCTTGCTGGGTTCCATTGGCCCAGCCCAAGGTGTAGCCTGTGTTGTACCATCCTCATTCCTGCCAGGGTGATGCAACCAAGGCAGGGGCTAGCAGCTGCTAGAAGGCAAGGACAACAGTGGGAATGGTAGCCACACTGCCCCTGTGGATCGTGCCTGTGTTACCAGTGCTGAAATAATGACTCTGTGCCTGCCCTCCTGGCTGTGTCTCTGCTGATGTGAAGGTTGCCTGGGAGCAATTGATTGTAACTGGTGACTCCTTTCCGTAGGAGCTTGTACAGCACAGCAAGGCCTGTCAAAACAGGCATCCTCCAGTGTTCACAGCTCAGAAAATACCTGAGTTTTGAAGCCTGGCTTGGGAGGAGAAGCCCTGAGGCTGAAATGTAACTTGGCCCTAGTGCCTTGAACGTCCCTGTGCCTTGAGTTGCTGGCGGGTGGTTTCGATCCCACTTGACTCCTGAGTGCCCCGGCCTTTGGCAGTGGGTCTTGCCTGTGGGGCTGTGTGTGCCCTGTGTGTCTGAGAGCCAGGTCTGCCCTGCTGTGTGGGATTTGCTGCTTCTCTCTGGCCCACCCCGAGCTGCTGCAGTGCAAGTAACTTCTCTTTTTTTCCTCTTCTCCCCCAAGGTCCCAGTGATCCCCGTGGTGTACTCCTCCTTCACTACATTCTATAACCCAAAGAAGAATTTATTTACATCAGGTACCAAAAAGCCCAAGGGTCTTTACAGTGACTCGGGGACAGGGTTGATGCCATACCCGTGTGGAGATGTGGTTCACAAGGGTGTGAGAGGGGAGCAGAGCTTGGGTGAGCAGGAGTCGTCCCTCTGGGAGATGCGGGGATTCAGTTCAAAGCACTTGGCACCAGAGCTTGGGCTTGGGCTGGGTTAACTCAGGGGAAGAATGTAATTGAATACAGTGAGGGATGTCTTCATTAAAAATCGGACACCACCTCTCCCTCTTACAACTGGCACAGCCCAAGTCATTTGGTGAGGACTTGGGGGGAGAAGCCAGCGTGCTCTGCCTCCTGACCTGTCAAAGCGGGGACCCCTCTGCGAGCAAACCAAGGAAGCTGGTTGGTTCAAAGCTCTGAAGTCTGTCAGTACGAGTGCTGGGCAGAAAGTTGGCTTTCAGTCAACTTCGAGCAGTAACTCTCATTTTTGGGAGGAAGCCAGGCTTGCCATGCTCCCTGCCCGGATGGCTGGAGCCAGCCAAAGGTGGGAGGCTTGGACAGAAGCAGGAGGAAGGAGCACCTGGTGCAGGCTCTGCCCAGTACGGCCCTGGAGCTGAGCGGGCCCATGGCCCTGGGCTCCCCCTGCTCTTTCAGCCAGCAGGGCAGGCACCAGCCTTGGGAAGGGGCAAGCTCTGCCTGAGCTGTCAGTTTAGGGCACGAGGGAAATACCGTGCTTCGCGCAGCTTTTTGAGGGCAGGGTCTAATCCCCAGAGAAATCTCTTACCCCTGAGACCAGCACAGCCTCTCCCTGCTCTCCAGGGGTGGATGCCTGAAGCCCTGTGAGGGGATGGGGGCTGCGCTGGGGCTGTCCGGGGTGGGGGGAGCAGGGGCCCTGGGAGGGCAGAGAACGGTGCTCCTGTGGCATATGGGTTTCTCACAAGCTCTTCGCTTCTTCCCAGGCAAGATCAAGGTTGAGGTTCTGCCTCCAATAGAGACCAAAGGCCTGACATCGGACGATGTCTCTGACCTCACCGACAGATGTTTCCGCACCATGAGGGAGACCCTCTTCAGGCTGTCAGGCCGTCCCAGCGAGGCAAAGGACTCATCCTAGATGCTTCTCCACTGGCGTCACCGTGTGGTGGTGGCTGAAGGGACCTGTCTGTGGCCAAATACCGAAGGAACTTCTCTTCCTCTGCAGAGACTTCAGACTCTGGGAACACCACGGACTGGGTGTCAAGCCAGCACTGAGGTTCCCGTTGAGTGGATTTCTTTTATGGGTTCATTATCTCGCAATGAAACGTCTCCTTTTTCTGAATTTCTCAGGCATCAAACTTGTGCTACCAAAGGGCTCAATGACCAGAGAGGTGAGTTCCCCCAGCTCGGGCAGCTGGCGTGGGGTGACAATGACAGCCTGGCTGGGGGCTGGGCTCTGCCTCGTGTGAGTGTCCCTGCAGGCTCAGCTAGCGCTGGCCTGGCCCTGCGCTGTCCCAGATGGAAACCGCCAGTTTGTATCTGCCCAACCTTGATGCTGCTCAAACAGGGCTCAGAATTGGGTGAAAATCCAGACTTTGGCTCTTTGTCAGCGCTGGGAGTGCGATGTCCTCCCTGGGCAGCCCGGAGCGCTGCCACCCAGCACGGTGGAGCTCAACGGGGGGGTCTCTGGGGCAGGGCCCATCTCCTTGAGAGACGCCTTTGGGTCACAGCAGCATCTTGTGCTGGGGCTTTGTGTCACCCAGGCGCTCCTGAGCCAAGTCTTTTGCTTCTGAAGGAAGCACCTAGGGCCAATAACCTCAGAGGGGAATGTGTGGGGCCAGCCAGCCTTACCGTGTCTCTTTGGGCTCAATTGCCTTGTCTGAACAAGTGCCCTTGCTCGTTGAGGGGTGCAGCAGTGCGGAGGGAAGCTGCGATCTGACCAAGCCAGTACGTGGTCTGGGCTGAGTTTAGCCGAGTGCTGTCCAGCCCTGCCAGTTTAGTCATCTTCTGAACGAAACCCCGCGCTTCTTTCTACCGTTCAGAGCCACCAGCTTGATTTTTCAAACTGAACGGATCTGTCGGAGTCCCAGGCAAACCTGTCCTCGCCTGTGACTTGTTCGTGGCGTGACGTGTGCCTGGGTTGGCTCAGAGCTTGCTTGGTGTGTGTGGGGGGGGACACTGCTGCCAGCTCCCTGCGGTGGCCTGACCTGGTTGCAGCAGGCACCCGGTACCGGCTGCAGATGCAAAGGGCGCTCTCACGCTCGGTTTGCCTCTTGTCATGGTCAGCACTGGCCAAAAGATGGTGCCTGTCCCGCGTGTCTGCGCTGATCTCGGCGGAGCTGCTGTTCCCCAACGCTTGTAAAACTCCTGCCGAGCCACGGGGCGGGCGAGCTGCCGCTGTAACGGGGCTGGGAAGGCTTTAGGGGGAATGGGCTCCTTCCCCTGTTCGGATCAAGGAGCGACCCCTGTGCTTTGGGTCGGTGGACCAGCAGGGCTCCTGGATCCCTCGCTGGGAGCTGCAGAGGTGTTGATGCCCTCTGTGAAGAGCAAAGCTGGGTCAGGTCCGTGGTTCCAGGGGGTGACCTTCACCACCTTTAGCTCCCCTATTCGTGGGGCAGGGTGTAGAACCTTGAGATAAGGCACCTGGGGCTACTCGGTACCCAACGCCACCGGCTTTTGCAGCCTGCCTGGGGCTGCGGTGGTGGGATTGCGGCCGTAAGGCGTGTTGGGGTTAAAGCCTCAACTGGGAAAGGCAGGGAGGTCCGCAGGGCCATCGGTCCCCAAGGGAGGGAGCCCTCGGGCTGAGCTGGTGCTGGTGCAGGCCAGGGGGGCT